TCATTTTATCTTCAAGCGGTGAAAGTGATGTAGACGAAGGAGATGCCAGCAGAAGCCGGCATCAGCAAGACTCTGATGATGATGATGATGATGAAGAAGAAGAAGAAGAGGAGACTGTTCGACTGTCAGTTTATTCTGATGTTGCTGCTTGGCCAGTTCCAGATGTTTTAAGAGTGGACCTTTTTAGGAGGGGAAGTGAACCTTTCCAAAATAGAGATGGGCCATTCAGTCCTGTTGAAAGGCAAGGAGAGAAATCAAAAGGGAAGAGTCGACAGCTGACCACTGAATGGTTCTATAAGGCTCTGCCTAATGGTGAAAAATTCTAAGAACGTGGATGGTGTACTCTCCATCAAAACAAAGTTTGTTTTGTTTTTGCTGCAGACTTTTTGCTGTTGATGACAAAGTAACAGGGACATTCAGTTTTGTTACTGGGTTTCAATTGTGGTGGAAGCTGAACCCATAGGTGTCTGGAGAAATGGAAGACCTTGAGAGCAGGATTGAAGCTACACAAATGCCTTGATCATGTCCATCAAACAACAGTGGACAGAGAGAAAAGGAAATGGAGGGATATTTTGCATCGGCAACAAAGGCAACTTCCTGGAATTGCTAGAATTGCTCTCAAACTATGATCCCATTTTAAAGGAACATTTCATGAGGCTGAAACATGCTGTTGCATCTGGAAAGAGAATTACTTCCTATTTCTCTCCAAAAATTCAGAACAAATGAATTTGTCTTTTGGGAAATCATGTGAAGGACAAAATAGTGGCTGATATCAAGAAAGCAAAGTACTTTGGAATTCTTTTTGACAGCACCCCTGATGTGTCCCACACTGATCAGATGTGTGAAGTAATCAGATATGTTCATATTGAAGGGGACAATGTTGAAGTAAAGGAATCATTCTTGGGCTTCTTTCCTGTTGCTGAAAAGACTGCTGCTGAGCTCACAGAAAATATCCTGCAACATCTGGAGGAAGATAGACTAGACATAAGCCTTTGCCGTGGTCAAGGATATGATAATGCTGCAACTATGGCAGGGATTCATGGCGGTGTTCAGGCAAAAATAAAAGAGATTAATCCCAAGGCTTTGTTTATGCCATGTGCAAACCATTCCCTGAACCTATGTGGGGTGCACTCATTTGGAAGTGTTTCCGGTGTGACCTTTTTTGGAACATTGGAGAGAGTGTATTCCTTTTTTTCGGTTTCTACACATCGTTAGGAATTGCTGATGGAAAATTTAGGCGTGACAGTGAAAAGACTTTCCCAAACAAGATGGGGTGCTCATTGTGATGCTGTGAAGCCAGTGAGGGTAAATTTTGAAAAACTGACTTCAGCCCTTGAAAAATTGTGTAATGCCAAAGAAAATGTGGACACAAGAGGATCGGCTCAGATGTTGCTGTCTGCCGTATGTGATTTTTCTTTTTTGTGTTACCTTTCTTTCTGGTGTGAAGTTCTAGAAGAAGTTAATATCACACAGAAATATTTGCCAACAGTCGGACTCACTCTTGAAAAGTGCATTGTGAAACTACAAGGTTTGAAAGCGTTTCTAGCAGATCAGCGCAGTGAAATTGTAGAGAAGGCCATTTGTTATGCAACTACTACGTGTAAAGAAAATGACATTTCTATGGAAAGAAGAGGGAGAGTAAAGCTCCGTAAAACAATGCCAGGAGAGAAGGCAAAGGACGCTGGTCTCACATTGCCAGAGGAAATGAAAAGGGCTAGGTTTGAGTGCCTTGATCGTTTTCATCACAAGTTGGAAATTCATTCCCAGGCAATTGAAAAAATCCTTTCAATGTTTGCTGTTATTCAGCCAAACTCTCTGGTTGTGGTAATAGAGAAAGATATTCGTAATTATACCCCAAAATTGACTGAGATTTTAGACAAATCCTCTAATGAAGACATCTTTAGGGAAATTGAACGTCTTCGGAGGCATTTGGAAGCTGCCAAGATCAGTGTTGAAGAAGCAAAGAAATGGACGGCATTGCAGTTCCTGGAGTTCATTGTTAAATGGGATTATTGTGAATCTCTAACAAATTTGTCACTGTGTTTAAGATTCTTTTTGACTCTGTGTGTGTCTACTGCTTCATGTGAAAGAAGTTTTTCCAAATTAAAATTGATAAAAAAAATTATTTTGCTCAACCATGAATGAGACAAGGTTGACAAATCTGGCTATACTTTCAATTGAGCATGAATATGCAAGGAAGATTGGCTTTGATGACGTAATCAATACATTTGCAGAAATGAAGGCTCGAAAGCAGCGGTTGTGAATCATTGCAAATTACATCTGCCGAATAGACTGAGTGGTCACTTTGGATCTGTGTGTTTTTTTGTTTATAGAAACCTTATTAGCTGTTACGTAAATGTTAATTATTTAAATTTCATTTATTTCTAAGTTAATTCATTTTTCATAGTTCCATTTTTTTCAAGTTGATATACAGTTTACAAATTTGTGCGATAAATATTATTGAAAACATTGAAAAAAATTGTGGGTGTTTTCTTACATTTTTATTATGGTGGAGTGGGGGTGGGGGGGTTTCCACACTCAGGGTCCGCCCCGGGTGCCAAATGCTCTAGGTACGCCCCTGCTCCTAAATGACAGTGAATTGAGCAGTGAAATTGCAGGGGAATGATCTATACACTAAAAACTGCTTTATTTAGCTAAAGTAATTTAGGTGACTATAGTGTACCTTTAAAGAAATACTTCTCCCAGGGAAGATGTTACAGAAGAAGAATAGTGTCTCTAGTAGACTTGTGTATTCGGTTTAAAGCAAATTGTGATTCGGCCAAATTTGGAAAATTCTGCGATTAATTTAAAAAACAGAACTCCAAAATGGCTATATGGACAAACCACAAAACAAATTAAAGGGACAGTGGTCAAAACTGTATAATTGGTTCTGTGTTTTGGAGTTCTGATGACTGATGGTTAGGAGAAAGCCACGAAATATGTTCCTTTTGTACATTTGTGTTTAGGAAAAAACTGGGCAAATCACTAGATCTACATTCCTAGAGAACAGTATTCACAGCAATAAAGCAAAAAAAAAAAACAGTGGAAGGTCAAACACACTGTAAAATGAGCAGAGAAAAAATTATGGTTTGGCATTTGGTATATTCTAGATAGACACATCTTTACCCAGGCTACTCTCCTGTGTGATAAAGAAATTGGTCTTTCCAACGTACGACTCTGTTCTGTCCTTCCACTTTCTCTTTCGTAAAGTTTGAAACATAATTTTTACCTATCCAGATGGAATTTTAAAAAAAAAGTCAAACATTAAAAATGGGCGTTTCAAAAGGGATTAAAGGAACACTTAGGCACCATAACCACTTCAACCAATATATTCAATACATTATAATGGACTCCCTAACAAGACAAAAAAAGAAAATGGTAGTTATAGAAAGGTACCAATATTTGAGGTCATTGACACTTATAACACTTTCAGTAAAGAATATTTTTTTTTCAAATGTACCTAATAAATCAGCAAGTGTAAACTATTGCTCAAATAATCTGACCAGTTACCTATTATAGACCATACCAAAATAGAAATCCTCTTGATATCACATCATGTTTCAATATGGTATCTCCTGGATACACAAAACAAGCTGCGTTAACAAAACGTTAACACATTCAATCAGCTCTCTGACATAATAAGGCTTATAGTGAAGCAACTTTGCAGGTGATGACTTAGTACAGCGCTATTGACAAATATGCAAATTTCACAGTAAACAGCAACAGGTTGCTTTACTAAATGGTTGCATAACCTACGTAGCTGCTAAAATGAGTTATGCTTGGATGTCAGTAAAATGGCCCAATATATTGAACATCACAGATAGCAAATTGACTTTTCGGTGTGACGGAGTGTGACAGATGTATATTTCCATTGTAAGTACAGATTTTACACTACGCCAGAAAACAAAAATGGTGTCTTTATTATACCTATAAATTATATTGCTATTAAAGTAAAAAAAATCTTTTTTTTTTTAGCATTAACAATACCAAATCTGTAAACAGAAAATAAATAAACAAATAAATACATGATAGTATCTGTGAAACCCCAGCAGTAAAAATTAGAGAGCCCATCACCACTCTCAAAGTAATCATACGTCTTCTCAAAAAAAGGTCCAAACGTGGTAGGCTTGGGAATCCAAACAAGTAAGAAGCCGGATAGAATATATAAACAGAGGAGGCAAAGGAACATGAATAGAGTAATGACAGGTGTCTTTAGCTAAGAGCTACAGAATAATCAGGCACTGGGCTGGTTGTGCTCTAAGGTTTAATTGGCACAACCTGATCATGAAACAGATCTTTCATAAGAGTGGAGTAGCTCCCCCGTTTATAAAGACACTGGGGTACTGGTGCCATATTGCCCCTTGCTTAAGACATCTTGTACCACATGTGGCGTCAATGCAGTGTCAATCCACTCTGTTGTGATCACTACAGCGACACAGACTTCAAGACAATCCAGAACAAAACAGATCATGTGATCTGCATGTACTCGTGAGTAAGTCTCCCCTCCACAACAAGACAATACCCCATTGTGAAAAAAGGGAGATTGGGGGCACATCCGGAACATGCATTTGTAAGTAATGGTACATGTACACACACAAAAAGTTAGTTTTAAATTTAACAAGGCTACATAAAATCACCTATCTCAGTAAACAAATATGGGGATTCAGTTATACCATATTGCCATATTGTGTTAAGCCCATCACTACGTCACAGTACCCCAATATTGGTGGGTCTTACACATTAACATGCTAACTTCAATACTTACTGCTTAAACTGCTTCCAAAGACTCCTCAATTTATGCTTTCCTCTGGTCACCTACAAACGCGGAACCTATAATGGGTGGGCTGCTTAGACCAATAGGAAATTTTCACACAGAAAAGTGGAATTTGGGGAAAACTCGGACCATGCATTTCTAAGTAGTGGTGCTGCTGTAACTTTTAGTGTGTGTGCGCTTTTTCCTTAATCAATACTCCATTGATAACTAGAAGATCAGCACCTCGCCTCTACACTTTCATCCACTGCTGTGCTCACGTGGTAGTTCCTCCTAAAAAACAGTTACCAATAGAAAGCCTAATAATACCACTTCTTCAAACATTATATCAAAATAACTATGGAATTTATGTATATAAAGTATCATGTTCACCGTCACATTTATTCCAGTTTTGTGCACATACATTGTGCCAACATTATTGCAAATTTTATATATATATATATATATATATATATATATATATATATATATATATATATACACACACAGAAAATAAAGAGATGCACTCTTAGGACTTAATAAATGAAAAAAAGGAGGTACTTTATTCCAATAGGTATAGTATCAAAAATTGCCGACGGTTCGACCCATTCATATACATGAAAGGGTGAGTGCCAAGAAACAATTTTTATTTTTATTTTTTAAATTTTTTATTTTTGCAGTGCATATCAGTTTAACATCCCCGCATGAGGTATCCCAACGACATTCCTCAAGCGTATTTGGAACATATATATAACAGTTGGGTCAGCTATAAAACATGCACAATTTTATATTTATGTGATGAGCAAAATTGTTGGATTCGTCACTTAGCTTATGTGGCTGGTTCTATAGCAAGTATCAACATCTGTATCCAACATAAACTTTCAAGTTTAACTTCGATTATCTATCTTAGAATGATATACAGGCTAGTCAAACGTGGGATTGTCTAGGTCTACATATGCATATTCATTCAGTGTTTCACTACCTCTTCTAAGCAATATAATAGGAGTTTGCTTGAAACCTGAGTCTGCATGTGTGGTTTATATTATAGTCATAACAAGAGTATAAACAGATGCTTTTATGAAGTGCTAGCTTAGTTAAGATAGGTATTGAAATAAAATGCCACCAGGTTGATTTTGGCATACTGAGTTATCATCTGCGTTACCCAGGATGCCCAAACCGACAGTTACTGTGACATGAGCTGTGATTATAATTACAGAGATGTCCATGTATCGGCAAGTATCGCCAGGGAGTTATTTTTTAAGGCTGTCAGTGAGTTCCGCGGTGCACTCCTTGGCTGCCTTTCGTCCTGAGGAGCTGGGGTCGTCTTGAGGAGCTGGGATCGTCGTTGGTTGAAAGGCATCCTGTTCCCAGGCTTAGGGGTGACCCTCGCGGAGTACCCAGGGGTCCCACCGTATTCTGCAGCCTCAGATCGCCGTGTCCACAGTACCCGGTCAGTAGGTGAGTACGGGTGCGGTGCTTTGCAGCCCATAGTGTCCAGATGCAGGTAGCGATATGCTGGAGTTGGTGTGTAGTAAGGACCTCTCTGGGCTCTCCTCCAATGTTGGTCTGTGGGTTTGGTGGTAGGAAGTGAGTTAGTCGCGTCGCTGTCGGCCATTTTGTGAGGGCCGCATGGTAGCCTTAAACTGTCGGCGCTGGGTCGCCCAGGCTTGCCGCCAAGATGTTTGTTTGCCTGGTGGGGACCGGGATAACCCCCGCCGGTCCAAAGGGGGGGTGAACGGAGCCGGGAGGGCGCCATTCGCATTGCGCTTCTCATTACCCGGGGCGGAGAGCGGGGCAGCGGCCGTCCGCTCCACTCCCCTCCCGTGTAGGCCTCAGTCCACCAGCCCTGGAGCATCTCACCAGGACCCAGAACCAGGGCCGGCCTTAGGGGTGTGCGAGCTGTGCGGCCGCACAGGGCGCCATGGCAACAGGGGCGCCGGGCGGCCAGCACAGCTCGCACTCAGTCACTCACATGCCGGCCCGAGTCATGTGCAGAGCAAGTCAAGTGCATTATGCTGCGCACTTGACTTGCAAATTATGAAGAGAGCAGCGGCCGGGAGAGAGAGGAGGTCAGGAGCACGGAGGAAGAGCATGCTCCGTCTCCACAGTCATCCCCGGAAGGATCCGCACAGTGAGTGTGAGGGAGGAGGTCAGTGCTGGTATCAAGGTCGGCAGACTGGGACACTGTCAGGAGGTTCCAGGGAGCAGCAAGCTTTAATGTGAGTCTGTTTATTCTTGTTGTAACTATTGCTTTTTTTTTTTTTTAATTAAATAGATTGTTGTTTTTGTGTGTGTGTGTGGGGGGGTTTGCAGAAGGGGGAGCAGAGGTTTTCTCGCTGGGATTTTGGGGTAGGGGTTTTGTAGAAGGGGGTTGGTTTAGGGAGGAGCAGAGGTTTTATAGAAGGGGTTAGAGGTTTTGTAAAAAAGGGGGTAGGGGTTTTGGTGTAGAGGAGACGTTTTGTAGAAGAGGGGGCAGGCATTTCTGGTGAAGTGGCAGGGGAAAGGATTTTGTGGAGGGGGCATGGGTTTTGTTGAAGGGGGACCAGGGGGTTTGTAAAGGGGGCAGGAGTTTAGTATAAGGGGAGCAGGGGTTTAGTAGAAGGGGAGCAGGGGTTTAGTAGAAGGGGGCAGGGGTTTAGTATAAGGGGGCAGGAGTTTAGTATAAGGGGGCAGGGGTTTAGTATAAGGGGAGCAGGGGTTTAGTATAAGGGGAGGCAGGACTTTAATATAAGGGGGGCAGGGGTTTAGTATAACAGGGCAGGACTTTAGTATAAGGGGGGCAGGAGTTTAGTATAAGGGGAGCAGGGGCTTAGTATAAGGGGGCAGGGGTTTAGTATAAGGGGAGCAGGGGTTTAGTATAAGGGGGCAGGGGTTTAGTATAAGGGAGCAGGGGTTTAGTTGAAGGGGAGCAGGGGCTTAGTATAAGGGGAGCATGGGTTTTGTAGAAGGGGAGCAGAGGGTTATGTAGAATGAGTGCAGGACTTTTGTAGAGGGTGGCAGTGGTTTTGGTGGAGGGGGAAGGTTTTTAGTGATATTATGTGAACATTGCTGTATAGTTGATATATATAATGATAGCATGTGTTTTGTTAAAGGGGGAGAAAAAAAATTATAGAAGGGTGGGCAGGGGTTTTATTAAAGGGGGAGCAGGGGTTTTGTAGAGGGGGCAGGGGTTTTGTAAAAAGGGGGGCAGGGTTTTTGTAGAAAGGGGGGCTGGGGTTTGTGGAAGGGTTTTGTAGAAGGCGGAACAGGGCTATTGTAGAAGGGGCAGAGGTTTTGCTGAAGGGGGGGGGGGCGCCATATGTTGGGCTCGCACAGGGCGTCTGATCACCTAAGGCCGGCCCTGCCCAGAACCACCCGGTGTCAGGTGCTCTAGCTACACTGGGACCCTCCAGGAGCATATACCACAAACTTCCAGGGCATTCCAAGTTGAGTAAGGTGGGTTTTGTCAACATTATTAGCTGGATTCCTCAGGAGCCATAGTGACTTGCAGCCTGCTAGCATGGCCGCCTGGCCCCGCCCCAAGAAACAATTTTTTTGTATATATATTTTATATATATATATATAAATAAATGTTTATATAGTTTTGTGCACATACATTTTGTATATATAACTATTTAAATAGGTCACTCACCTACCTGTGAATCACTTATTTGGCATGAACTTCTAGGCAGATGAAATGATTGGCAGGTGGAGAAAGAGATACCTCATAACATATGGTCTTCCTGCTCCCCAGCATTCCAACTATAACAAATACAGAGATTTTTGCATATTTTTAAAATGTTTTATCTATATAATGTATTTTAAAAATACCAAGTCAATTCCAGTCTTGAGTGCTCCTTTAGCTAGACATTAAATATATGGTATGGGTTGTTTCCCTTTTTTTTTATATATTCCAGAGGTACAACAATACAAACAGATGCTATCCTGAACTAATGTGCCAGCCTGAGCTAGCAGCATAGTGACAGTAAAATAGCTGCTGGGGAAAGAAAAGATTTTATACTGAACGAAATGAATAAAAAATGCTAAGCAGCACTGGAAATTAGATAGTTTGTTTGACATGATTATGTAATCAAACTTTTTGACGAACATAATAATTAACCCCCAAGCCAATCAGAAGTTTGTGTAATTTTAAACTTAAAGTGATTCACAAATCTTTTTGGTAATTATTTCTTAGTGTTGTGGATTTAAAACAGAAGGATTTGGTGGAAATCATTTTTCCATGAGCCATTCTGCCCACAAGGCTGGCCCCGAGTCCACTTTAAGGGCCCGCCACCCATTCAACCACTATCTCGCAGGCACTTACAGGTGCGGTAGGTAATATAGTGTGTGGTTGCAGTCGAGCAAATGTGTGTGATTAGGGAATGTGGTGTATGGGGAATCCAGCGTGTGTAGGGGATGCAGTGTGTGTCAGAAAGCAAGTGTGTGTATAGTGGATGCAGTGTGCGTGTTTGTGTAACGGTTTGGGGTGAATGGGCTTGGTATGCAGAGAAAGGACAAAGTAAAGTCACTTAACGGTAAATACATCACAATAGGCAGGAATGTCCAGAGACAAAGCCATGCAGCAGGAAAACAAAAGGAAAGTCTTTAGCAGGATAATCCAAGCAGGACCAGGAAGCAAACAGAAATTCATTAGCAGGATAACAGGGGGAAAGGGAAGGAGGGCTTGTAAATTCTAGGGAGTTTACAAGACAACTGAGCAAAGAACCCAGGGCCTCGGTTTAAAAAGGGGAGAGCAAGGGAAAGACCTCCCATGAAGAGGGGTCTACGGGACTATTTAAGTAGATGGTCAGGCCTTGAAAAGTTGGTGTCTGTGCCCCATTTGTGGGCAGGACGCTATGTTGGATTGCCAGTTCATCCTGCTGTTTCACACGCTACTCACATATGTACTAAAATGGATTTCCAATGGTTCTGACACCCTGAGGAGTTCATGGAGCAGCATGGGGGAGGAGCTGGTGCGGCACGCCGCGGAGGAACAGCAAACCTCGCCAGCGGCTGGGGAATGGGTACGATGCGCTCTTCACGCTGAGCCCCATGTGAAGCCTCTGGTGGGCACCTAGTGAGTGCAATGTGACTGCCCCTCCCGGTGTGCCGTGACAGTTTGTATAGTGGATGCGGTGTGTGCATAAGGAGCATAGTGTGTGTATATTCGATACAACGTGTGTGCAGTGGATGCATATAGTGCATGAAGTGTGTGTGCTTATAGTGAATGCTGTGTGTGTATAGTCTATACACCACAAAAGTATATACAAATATCAATATACAAAATACTTAACCGATGACTGGTATCTGTATTAGCTACCCCAAAGGAACATTTCAGCAAGTATCCTTTTACAACAAGCCACAATTTTGTAATATAAGCCACATCCACTATGTGCCGGTGGCACACCCCATGGAGAGGTTTGTTTTTCCATGGAGTCTCAGACATTGCCTTAACAGTTCATCTTTGGGAGCCATCTTTATGATGTACTTGTGGATGCTCCGGGTTTCATCCAGGACTTTGACACTCATCAGGCCCCGACCTCTTTCCTTTCAGCTGGTGTATAAACCAGTTCTTCCCTTGGCCAGGTTATTATTCCAGCTGGGTACCTGGTAGGGCATTTGTGTTCATGGTTTGGATCTTTTTCTTGCCATTGAGCTGAGACTTCAGGACCTGTCTGACTCTCTGGAAGTACTTGGATGTTGCTATCCTTCTTGCATCTTCCTCATGGTTAAGATAGATAGATAGATAGATAGATATGGAATGACAGATACAAATAACTGTATGTGTTATTGAAAAGTAGATGATAAATAGAAAGGTGTTGATGCCACTCCTTTACATACTTATCTGTCAGTCCATTATAGGCCTTAATGTGTTTTATGGACTGACAGAAAAGAATGTGAAGGAGTGGCGTCAACACCTTTCTATTTGTTCCCAATTTCTTCTCTCCCTCTAGACATACACACAAATAGGTATAATATTCATAGCACACCCTGTATAAAACACACCTTTTGTGTCCACTATTCACTAGGCATATAGATACATCCATTTACAGGTACGGTACATGTTTCTTATATTTGTTGCACATAGTACATTATACTTATATACGAGTAATACAGTGCACATTTATATAATTATCCATACATTAAAATACTTCACATTGACATAGGACTGTTCTTTTTACATGTTATTATTCTTGGGACATTTTTTACATATTTTTATATTTAGCATCACTGATACACACTAGGAGATTGATTTTAACAGGGTTTTTTTAAATAAAATTGTGAATTGTGCTCACTGATAGTAGACAAGAAAAATATTTACATACAGATACTTGGGAAATCTTTTGTAGGATGTAACTTACAATATGGTAGTATATGGGTGATAGACAAATCTAAAGTTGGTTTGCTGGGCCTATATTACCTTTGAGACAGTATGGCAGCCCAAGAAGGAAATTTACCCCCATCATAGCATACCATTTGCAAAAGATGACAACACAGGGTATTCAAAATGGGGTACAGTCTTTTTTTTGTAGTCATTTAGTCACTAACGCTGGCCAAAGTTAGCGTTTATATTTATTTTTTACATTTTTCACACAAAAACTGCACTTTCATCAATGATATCATCCGCATTATACATGTTACTGCTCTAAAACACTAATTTTTGTGTTCAGTCATGTCTCGTGAGTACAAAAGTATCTCTATACAGGTTTCATGGTGTTTTGGAAAGTTACAGGGTCAAATATAAAACATGCCCATTTCTGTTTTTGCACATATACATTTGCCAGATTGGTCATGTTTCCTTTGAGACCATATGGCACCCCAAATTACCCCCATCAAAGCATGCCATTTTAAAAAGTAGACACCCCAGGCTAATTAAAAATGGGGCATGACCAGTCTTTTTTAGTAGCCTCTTAGTCACAAATGCTGACCAAAGTTAGTGTTCATATATGTTTTTTGCATTTTTCACACAAAAACTGAACTTTCATCTGCACTATATATATATATTTTTTTCTTCCTTCTGCTATTCTGAACCATTAAGAAAATCGTGCTTGAAGATAAGCCATCCATTTTCCTGACCTTATGTATGGGATAAATGCCTGAACATACACTGATCTAGTGAGTTTTCTACCACCCTCACCCTGACATTTAACCCTTACATACTACATCACATGTATTTTTATTTACTTTACAGAATACATTGTATTGTTTTTTCAGGTTGTATAATATTTTTATTATTCACCCTTTTGGTGTTTGGTTATTTGTAGCCTGTATTTATTCAGCCCACTTAAGTACCCTTTTTGGTTTCTTTCTTTCTTTCATCTCTTGACTTTCTGCCTGGGTTGTCAGGCAGTCCCCCAAATAGTAATTAATAAAATCACATTATGTAAAAAGATTACATAAATATACAGGTAGAATTAAAAAAAAAAATAATAAAAAAAAAATATATATATATATACACACATATATATATATATATACATATATAAAAAGAGAGAAAAATAAAGGTTGCGCCTAATAATAAGTGAAAACAATACTTATAGAAATGTTGAAATGTTGAAAACGTCCAAGCAGTACTGCAAAAAGTCCAAAGTTTTAAGTTGTTCTACGTCCAGAGGAAGAGATCCTTGTAGTGCAGTGGGTGGAATATGTGGTCACAGATGCAGACTCGTTGTCCCAAAGTATATATGCGAAAGAAGCAGAAGACAAAAAGGACTCCAATGGTTCAGTATGTCGTAATATGAAATATTGTGTGTATAGAAATAAAACTACTCACAATATCCAGAGCTTAAATCCAGCTCTGGTTCTTAAGGCACTCAAGGATATGTGAAGCTTCTCTAGTATTCTTCAATAGGATAGTTCAGTAGAGTAGTCCGGCTCCAGATAAAAAAAGATAAAATATATAGTACTCCCTGTATTAACTCCTAGGGATGATAAAAAACAGGATAAAATATACTCACGGTATATTGAGCAGACGCACTGCTCGATGGATAGCGCATAGGTGGTACAATCCCCACCTAGGGATTCTTGGTGCTTCGTTATAGATGGTAGAAAAGTGGTGTCAGGTCCGGATAAAAAGTAACATAAAAAAATAAAAATTTATAAAATACCAAAAATAAAGGTAGTATAATACTATAGTGAACAAAATGAATCTGGCAACAGTATAAATAATAGCCAAAATTCCTTTATTAACACTTGTACAATAAATATAAAAGTTTTAAAGTGTTTCTAGACGCGTTTCGCCACAGCTGGCTTCATCAAGTATATATATATATATATATATATATATATATATATTAGATTTTATGTGTTTATTTATGTAATTATATATATATATATATATATATATTTATATATATATATATATATATAAATATAAAAATTCCAACATTTCCTTGCACTGCAGGCTGCAAATATATACTTATTTTATCCGGGTGCTGGGTCGTGGTCATCGAGATACAGGGTTCAAATGGATGGTCCGCACTCACGATAATAGTAAAATGTAACTTTTATCAATTACATTTAAAAAAGATGCCAAAAACTGTCGACGTTTCAGTCCCAGTGCAGGACATGCTGTCCTGAGCAAAGTCCCGCACTGGGACTGAAACGTCGACATTTATTGGCATCTTTTTAAATGTAATTAATAAAAGTTACATTTTACTATTATCGTGAGTAATTATTCATCCATTTGAATATATAAAATGTAATTCTAAATGTATTTTGATACAGTTAGGATGGAATTAATTTAAAATTTCTTTAATTTCTTTAATTTATTATTATTATATCAAAAAATATATTAATATTGTCTGCATATATTATATATGTTTTTTATTCTAAGTGTATTTTTATATTAATTTATATAGAAGCGGATCGCGGAGGAGGTAAGTAGCGGCTGACTCCTGTGGTTGAAAGCAATGGCTTTAAAGCTCATTATGATGTGGACGGCATAAAACGCTGTAATGATGTTAAAGGGTTTAACATAAGTGTGTGCCTTGGTGTACCTGCACATGCCTTTGTTTACAGTTCAATCAATTACAGGTACATTCTGACCATCTCCACCTACTTGGGATTTTATAAAATCATCTTCTAGCCATCCAGACGTCTTCCATCAGAATGGAAAACACTTAAAAAACCCTCCTTAATCCCTATGTATATTTAGACAAATGGAGGTCATTTAGTTGCTCCAATGGTCATTGGAGGGAATGCCCGTCTGCCAACGTCAAGGCAGACCCCCCTAAGCGGGTCCTTACACTGACCTTTCAGCCTGCTTCCTTGAGCTTCTGGCAAAGATATCTCTAATGAGACAAAGAGGGGTATTTTTTCTTTTTTCTTATTAACCCTTAATAGGGAACACATGGGATGAGCGGCAGCATTGTAACAAGGCTATAGGGGTGTATAGAAAAAATACCCCTCTTTGTCTCATTAGAGATATATTTGCCAGAAGCTCAAGGAAGCAGGCTGAAGGGTCAGTGTTAGGACCCACTTAAGGGGGGTCTGCCTTTACGTTGGCAGGCGGGCATTCCCTCCAATGGCCATTGGAGCAACTAAATGACCTCCATTTGTCTAAATATACATAGGGATTAAGGAGAGAGCGCAGGTAACTTTTTCTTTTCTTCGTTTTTACTATATATTGGGGCTGATGTGTACTGTAGTCATTGCTGCCAGCCCAGTAGTGGTGGGAGTCAGGGCCGGATTAACATAGGGGCTGATGGAGCTGCAGCTCCAGGCCCAGGCCCATGGAATAGGCCCATTGATTTAAAAAAAAAAAAAAACATTTTTTTTTTTTTAACATTTTTTTTTTTTCACACACTACTCTTAGGGATTCCACCTGGCTTTTATTTTATTGCCACAGCCAGTATTTGGGGCGGTGCTGGTATTGCAGTGATACTGGCAATACAAATGCTGGTATTTTTATCAGTATAAACAAGAGATTACTCCACAATACCAGCACTGGCCAGTAGGGGTCGCTGTATGTGGAGAGAGGCAGGGATAGGAAGTTCCAGCATATCCCTCCCTGCCTATCTATACTCACTGATCTGCAGGGGTGCAGCTACAGAGAGTCCAGACAGCAACTCCCACCCTGCAGAGACAGCCTACAGCTCAGGGAAGTAAGGGATGGGGGGACAGGCTGCAAGGATACATATACTGAGACACTAAGGGACACTGGGAGATATTATGGCAGACACTGAGAGACTAAGGGACATTGGGAGACATTATGACAGACACTGAGACACTAAGGGACACTGGGAGACATTATGGCAGACACTAAGGGACACTGAGAGACATTATGGCAGACACTGAGACACTAAGGGGCACTGGGAGACATTATGGCAGATACTGAGGCACAAAGGGACACTGGGAGACATTATGGCAGACTCTGGGACACTAAGGGACACTGGGAGACATTATGGCAGACACTGAGACACTAAGGGACATTGGGAGATACTATGACACAGACACATGGGGACACAGTGTCCCCATGTCTCCCAGCCAGTGTCCCTGGTGTCTCAGTGCCCCCTAGTCTCTCAGTGACCCCTAGTCTCCCAGTGCCCCCAGTCTGCCAGTGTCTCACTGTCCCCATGTCTTCTAGTGCCTCCATGTCTCTCATTGCCTCAAGTGTCACAATGTCCCCATGTCTCCAAGCTAGCATCCCTAGTGTCTGTGGCCCTGGTGTCTCTGTGTCCCCATGTCTCCCAGTGCCCCATGTCTCAATGTCCCCATGTCCCCCAGCCAGTGTCTCTAGTGTCTGTATCCCCATGTCTTCAAGTGTCCCCTATTTTCCCATTGTCCCCATGTGTCCCAGCCAGAGTCCCCTGGTCTCCCAGTGTCACTGGTGTCTCCATGTCCCTAGGTCTCCCCGTGTCTTCCTAGAGTCCTAGTGACATGGGGACCCTGGGATACATGGGGACACAGAGAGACATGGGGCATTGAGACACTGTGATACATAGGATCACTGGGAGACCTGGGGACACGACACTGGGAGATATGGGGCACTGAGACACTGATACATAGGAACACTGAGACCTGGAGTAATCGACACATGGGGGCACTGAGTCATGAGGGCACTGGGAGACATGGGGGCACTGGGAGGAATCCATCTATACAGCAGAATCAAACTAAGTAGTTTTTTCGTGATTTTACAGCATTTTCTCTTATGTCACTCCTTGTCATTTACATCATGTGATGTCATCCATACATATTTAATTATGCAAATGAGTAAGGCCGGTATGTTTTTCCAAGAAAGGTGGCAACCCTAACTACTTTTCACATACTCTTAATTAAGTATGGAAACTTAAGTGGGATGTATGGGAACAAAACTTGTGTGGACTGGCTGACAATGAATATAGTTAAAGGGACACTATAGTCACCAGAACAACTACAGCTTATTGAATTTGTTCTGGTGAGTAGAATCATTACCGTCAGGCTTTTTGCTGTAAACACTGTCTTTTCAGAGAAAATGCAGTCTTTACATTACATCCTAGTGATAACTTCACTGGCCACTCCTTAGATGACTGTTAGAGATCCTTCCTGGGTCATGGCTGCCTAAAATACATCCAAACATTCAGTGTCTCCTCCCTCTGCATGCAGACACTGAACTTTCCTCATAGAGATATGGGGAAGCACTGTGATTGGATCAGGCCACCACTTCTAATGATGTCAGCAGACTGCTTGTTTTTATGAGTCTAACAGCATGCAGAGTTACAGCTTCAGGCTTGAATACAGATTTTGCTATATTTATGGAGGCAAGAGGGTTCCAGGGGGGGGCTAGATGGTGGTGTTAACACTATAGGGTCATGAATTCATATTTGTGTTTCTGACCCTATAGTGATCCTTTAAGGTAATGCTGACTTTGGTCTCTCTAACACTGTTGAATGTTCACTTTCTTCTACACTCACTACATACAGCTTTTCTCTGTCCCAGACCATATACCAGGAGCTTCTGCCTGCTAGTAAGAAGGTAAGGAGACAAGTGGACCAGCGAGTGCTAGGGGACAGTCCTTAGAAAGCATTGAGTGAGCGCATCATTAGATGCATTTATGCCAAGCTCAGAGTGCTGTCTGCATAGTATGCCCTTAGTTGGCCAGCTGCATGATTGGCAGGCAGCCTGACATGCATTTATGTCAGGCTGGCCTTCTAATTCTTTGAGCAGACATGTCCTCTTTTTGGGCATGTTTACCCGTTTTGGCAGGTTACGTGATTTGTGTCAGTGGCAAACCCTTTTACCGAGCCCATTGACTTCCTGCTTGATTGGACACTGCTGTTAGGGGTTATGGATTTACTTGAAAGATGAAAACATAAATTAGAGAGAGATTAGCATAGGGTATGTGTTTTCTTATAGCTGCTGTTTTCTTTCTCTCCAGCACCATCTCCATCAGATACATGATGCTTGGAAGTGTTTTATTGTTTTTGGTGGATATGATTCTGTAATTAGGCCCGTCATAATTGTCAGCACCAGGCACACTGGGCTCTTAATCTGGCCCTGGTGGGAGTGAGCGCAGGACTTCTCTTTTTGTAATTAAAAAACCCTGATTATTTCCTAAATAGTTAATAATAGCTAATCACCCGTAATCAGTAAATAGTCAGTAATGGTTAATAATTAGTTATGTGTAATTCTACCTTGAACTCCTTCTGTTTTACTGACAAATTACATTTTAGCAAATAACTCTTTAAGTGTTTTCTCACCTTTTTAAATTAATAATCTCCAATAATGCATTAGAAATAAAGATGTCTACTCCTGCTTAGAAAGTCTATTTTTCAATATTGGCTCAATTGCAAGGCAGCCTTTGGATTGTGCGCCTGCAAATATGCATCAAGTGACCCTGTCACCTGACATGCCCCATTGTTGTGTGCCCATGAAAATATGATCATGTGTGGTGCAACACTAACTCAGATACATCTGCCTTAGGGTGATAAGGAAACTCCTGGAAATTTGGATTCTTACCTAACGTGCATAGAAATTCTATTGTTTATTACAATTAAAGGGACACTACCTGTATAGCCACTAAAACAACTTTAGCTTAATCAAGCAGTTTTGGTGTATAGATCATGTCCCTGCAGTCTTACTGCTCAATTCTCTGCCATTTAGGAGTTACTTCGCTATGTTTACACTGCCCTTGTTACACTTTCCTGCAGGTGACTTACACAGCCTTTCTAAACACTTACTGTAAACAGAAATCTAATGTTTCAACTTTATTATACAGTCTGTTAAATTTAGAATTTCTTATCTCTGATAGTCATCTGCTAGACCCTGCAGGAACCTTGTGTGTGTAATTGCAGTTCAATTTACAGAGCAGGAGTTAAAAACTTCTAAAGCAAGTTACATTTAGTTGAAAATGAAACCATTTTTTCTTATGCAGGCTGTGTCAGTCACAGCTAGGGGAGGTGTGGCTAGGGCTGCATAAAAAGAAATGTGATTTAACTCCTAAATGTCTCAATGAGAACTGAGCAGTGAGACTGCAGCGGTAAGATCTATACACAAAAACATTAAACTAAAGTTGTTTTGATGCCTGTAGTATCCCTTTAAAATAAGTCTTTAAAAAAAAAAAAAAAAATTTAAATCATATTTTTACTTTGCTATTCTTTTATCTGCAATTTCCATGTGAAATGTACACTGCGGGTTAAAAGTATAATTGGCTCAACCTATTGTGGACTTTAACTTTCACTACTGTAAGTCATTCAAAATTTTGAACCGTCAAAGCCTGGATGTGTCTGCACCAACAGGACTCGTTCTCCATCCCTCGGTAATCGAGTTCATCAGTCTGCAATTTCCTTCTGCTATAGGAGCTATCCTTGTATCCAAATTTAAAATTGATAATTGTAATCTGTTCTTTATATTATATATATATATATATAATAATTATTATTATTATCTTTTTGTCTGACTTTTCTATAGACCCATTCGTTCGAGAAGCCTGTAGCCCTGGCTGGAAACACAAAGCACATGCAGTAATGGATGATTCGACTGTACGCTCATTACTCATGCCCGGAAACATACTGCTCAGCACTGACATTTTTCAAGCATGGAAAGGTCACAGACAATACTCTGCGAGTGGATTCTAATCTTTCAAATCCCACTGCCAAGTTCTACGTTTCTCCATCTTACATACAATGTGCGTTGTTTTGAAATGTGCTATGTATTTCTTTGAACGTAATAACAATCATGTCATTTTAATGAATGCGTATCTCAAATCACCTATTAAATATTAACTAGATAAGCTACAATCACTATATTTCCCCTTTAAATGGCGACACTTATAAAACTAAACATATATTTTGCGGCAGCAGTTATTTAATAGAACCTGACAGTATCAATTTTACATACGAGTCATCCATTAAAAATTTAATCTGTTACCCTAATGGATTACTGATAACCCATATAACGCATATATAAAAAATCTTTGAGTGAAGACTTCCTCTTTAAAGTACACCTGTGACTTAAAAAATTGCTTTTTTAAATTAATGATTTTTAAAAAAACTCAAAATGTTGTGTTTTTCATAATTTGATTTTCGTTCCGTAGTGTTAAATACATATTCTTAAGATAAAACCAGATGAAAGACAAATGAATTGAATTGTAATTCTTCCAACTTCAATCACTGGCTCGTTATAGCCATATGACCATGGTCTTTATAATGTTTGATCAATATTATTGTTGGTATTCCACCTGGACAAACACTGTGTTATTATTTACAATGTAAGAGGTCTCTATTTTTGGCCTTAACATATGTAGGTTTTTTTTGCATACATGTGTACACCTCTCTGCTTCAATGTTTCTCTAAGAAATTCCAAGACCGTATTTCTTAATTTAATATAGCGGGTCAAATTGGGGGGAGTATGTAAGCTCATTGAGCAGGGCCCTCAACCCCTCTGTTCCTGTGTGTCCAACTTGTCTGGTTACAACTACATGTCTGTTCGTCCACCCATTGTAAAGCGCTGCGGAATTTGGCGGCGCTCTATAAATATCATAATAATAATAATAGGAGACATTAGAAAGGTCCAACAACATGGTCAGACATGCTCTAGTGAAAAGGAATTCATATGAGGGCAGTACGAAGTGGGGTGTGTATTATCAGAAATTAGCACTTTTCTGGATAGGTGAGTTTTTAGGAGGTTTTGAAATGTATTTATTATTTAGGGAAGTCCAATGGACTGGACAAAAAAGGACCAATAGTAGGGTGCGAGGAGGGTGAATGAAAAGAACTGATGAAAAACCTATCTATCTATCTATCTATCTATCTTCTTACCTCCCACAAAATAGAGCTAATTTACTGCCCTTCATTAATATGTTCCATTCTTCCTCACCATTGTAAAAGGAAAATACTTTTAACATACTATTTTAAAATAAAAAATTGTATTGATCAATCTTATAGAAAAATGGTAAACAGAATCCAAAACACGCTCATATTGTTTTAGCAAAGAAAACAAGAAGAAAAAGGTAGCTAAATTAGCTAGCTTAGTACATACTCCAGGCTGTGGAATTAGAGATGCACACATCAGTCAACTAACTAAATAAAAATGTGCAACTTGTCCGTACACCATGGCAATGTACCTACATGTAAGTAAATTGACAGCTTGATAATGCTATTGTGGCGCTACGAGCCTGTATGTTCTTTTTTGCACAGTAAAATGCAGAAGTCTTGATAAAGTTTTTTTCTTTTTTTTAAAACTTAATACGTACATGTTCCCATAGGCTGCAGGACGGCTGCTGCTTCTGAATATCTGTGAATTGCTCTGTTTTGTGCTCTGCTTTGCGTATTGCATATGGGCAAATAAAGGCTGCTTCTTTATAAGAAGTGTATATATATATAAGAAGTATTTTTTCCAGAATCTAATTATTATTTATATATATATATATAGTGCTGATTTCCTATGCTATTGATACCTAAATAAAGGAGTCAGTAGATATTTCACAATAATAACAATAATTATAATAATGGTAAATTGAGAAAGTAAAATAGGGAAGAAAGGGGATCAGAAGGAAAAGGTAGGGGTGGGGGAATGATAGGTAATTGTGTCCGTTTTTTAATAAAGAGTCATTTAAAAGGTTTAGAAAATAACCAATTAGGATTAAGATCAGCAGAGTCAAAGCAATGGGGAGCACAAAATATATATTTGGTACCGGACATGAAGGTTGCCTGTGGTGTATTTCCATGAGTTTGAAAAAAAACCAGTATCATGTATTGCATTTCTAGCTTTGGGAAGACTGCTGTTGAGCCTGTTTGGAGACAAACTGGAAACTGGTTGAACTCCTCATCAGAACTCTTGTTTCATGTCCATACACATTGAAACCCACCTGTATTTTTTTGCTGATGCCTGAGCCTACCTGTCCATGTGAGGTAATGGGAAGGATGGCTGTTAAATAGTGAGCTTTGGGACAGATAACTGACAGTCTGACGCAAGGTGCATAAAGATGTCAGAAGGAGGAGTGGGGAAGGTAGGCAAGTGGCTTCTTCAAAATGCTTAATATGCATAAATTAAAAAAAAAAATATCGAGATGATATAACATAAAGATTATATTAAGCGATTAAACATTTTTAATGACAGTTATCATTTAAAAGAACATCCTTCACACCAGTACTCAGATATCAGATGGGTAGATAACATGTTCAACCTTTATTACAGCATTGTTAACAATAGCAACCAGTAAAATACAATAATGTTCTAGAAGAACTTAATCGTTGCCGCATGAAATTAGTATACTTACCTCTGTACTTTCAGCTATTCCATTTGTGTTAACTTCCCGGTAACACATGTTACAAAATGTGACACATATTTCTTAATTTTGCTGCAAGTTAACTAGTTGGCTGTCATTTAAGCATATTTGGACATAGTTATGTTAGGTGCTTCTGGAAGAAGATGACTTTTTCCTTGACTGCTATATGTGTAAAACATGCATACACCCTGGAATTCCTGTGTATGGCTTCTCTGCAACAGTTTGACTTTCCTTTGCCTGTGTGTTCTTGCACCACTACTGAACTTAGACCTTTGGCTACAAGAGGTTCTTACCATTTACCCATGGATAAGTTCCCTTTCACCGCTGTCATTTGTCACTGTGTAATATAAAATATAAACACTCTGGTCCGTTTTATACTGAGGCAAATACTCATCAACATACAAGCAAATGGCATACATACTAACTCGAGCAAACAAACCCACCACCGACAACTAAGCACATAACACACAGTTGCATACAAGTAATTGGCACATAAACTAACTAAAGCAACAAACCCACTATTTACAAATAAACACATAAAACCTCACTAGATCTCACCAACAACAAGACTCCATTATACACCAACACCTTTCCAGGGTGACATATAACATATGAAAAGCTACGTCCTCTGATGCAAAAAGAAACATGTCCTTAGTCATAACATTTGTGTGACAAGATGTCACTGCAGTCACAATACAGAAGGGACTCTTCCAACTGTTTCCTCTGCTCCTAATATCTGTTTGGTTGCACAACCTTGTGTACAGTGATCCACAAATATCTTCCTGAGCTTAATATGTTCATATATATATATATATATATTTTTTTTTTTTCTCATTTATCATGATGAATGTATCCATGCACGATTTTTTTGTAGTCACTGTTATGTTTTGGATGTTACGGACTGATGTGCCAATGATAATTCTTGCCTTTGATAACGTATTGTTTAGTGGAGTTTACCGTTCATAGGCTTTTGGTGCTATTATACCAGATGCTCACCTGGACATAGGTGTGTTTTTCCCTTGCTCAATATCCTACAATTAAGTTTAGGTAGTCTGAATGAAACGTATGAGGTGCTGTCACCCTGAAGTCCTGCTTCCAGACTTTGTATATGTTTATACTTTTATAAATAAAGCAAATTGATACTGATTTGGTCCATGCTATTTATTTTATGCGCTGTAAACAAAGGAGTCTTTTCAATAAATGCTGCATTTTTACTGCTGACCACAGTTTGGCTCTTGATCAACATGATTTGAGCCCAGCGGGATGCAATAAACGGTAAGATGCTGCTCTTGAATTTCCATGATGAAAATGAATACATTTTGCCTTCAAGGTGACCCTTGAGCCAGTAGTTGTCACTAGGTAAATGCTGGACTTTTAAAATATAAAGGTACACTAGCACCGAATGGAAGTCTACAGCCTCTCGGGCTTCATTAGAAGAGCAGTAGTTCCCCTGTTTGTAATTAAACTTTGTGGTGTTATATTATACAACATAGTCCTGAGACTTAGATGTACATAATTTCAAGGAGCGTCACTAAAAAGTAAATAAATGATCAACATACTATTGTGATAACCCAAAACCAAGAGATGATGAATGAAAATCATTAGTATCATCTACCATCCAATATGTTATTGTATTGTCTCTCCAAAACTCTTCCTGCCCATCTTACGACTATATCAGACCTCTAGGTGGCACTATCACTTGAATAACCAACAGGAATTTTTTTAGCCTTACATTTAAATATCTGAGATATGGTGCTTCAGTAAGTAGAAAGGAGGAAGGTTAACAGATCTAATATTTAACAGGCAGAAGATTAATTTATAAGGGAAATAAGAGGCATGAAGAGAAAAAATGAGAATAAATAACAGGGATTACTGAAAGGAAGAAGATTGATTTTCTACAATTTCCCAATCTATATAGTCAACCGACCTACACTCAGACATCTACAACATTTGAATGTGTGCATTTGTTTATAATGTATTTTTAGCTGATAAGAGATTTAAAGAAGGGTTTCAACTTCATTTTGGCATGCTAATGAAATAAGACAGATTTATTTTATAGATGGTACAGCAAATTAATAATTTAGTCACGGGGTAGAATGTCATACCTTATTAAGACCTCGATGAGTTGATACCCCTAAAACACACCCAGATAGTAACTGGAGTCTCTGCTTTACCTTACCAGGCATATGCTGTCACGTTGGTCTGGGAACCTAAATGTTCAGACAAGACACAACAGAGAGAATTGACGTTCCGGTCCTTAGAATTGCTGGGCTAAGCAAAAGGATAGTCAAAATACAAGCCGAGGTCAAATGCTAACAGAGAGACAGAATACGGAGAGACAAGCCGAGGTCAAGAGATGACAGAGTATACGTAAAACAGAGTATGAAACACTATTGGGCTACTAAAGACCACATAGGGCACCAAGGCAAGAGAAAGGCAGGCTTAAATATGCTCCAGAGGCTTCTGTTTGGCTAAACTGCGATCAGAGTTACTTATGAAACGTGAGGGGTACCTGGGTCCTTTCCTTTTAACTGTGATGTCTTCTTTGCACGCCCCGTCCGGTGACTGGCTTGGGTGCATATGAAAGCAAGTT